TTTCTTCATTACAAACAATCACTGTCTATTTACAAGTCTGTTACAGCACGTGGCTTCACCTTTCTGCCTGCGCGAGTGAAATAATTAGCATTATCCGGATGATTCAAAACCACAGGCTGTTTATTGCTATCGGTACGCTCTGACCCTACGTTAATCATTCTGTCATTAACTGACATTTCAAGGCCAGAATTCAAAGCACCATGTGTCAATAAAAGGCGATTCTCTTAGATTTCAACAAATCTTTACGATTTCTTGCGATATTGTTGTCCCGCTTTCTGTTTCAACAATATAGGACCTATCGCTGTGATTTTTTATTACAACAGCGGGACTCCAGGACTTGTCTAGACGTTGAATTCTAGCGGAATCTCCAAACATTTAAGGGAGACAGAGGTTTAGCATTTTTATCATAGTAATGCTTAGATTTGACCTTGGATTCTGCGATTTTTTGTTTGACTACATCAGGGGGCGGTACTCGTGGTATAAGGTTTTCCCTTACAGTGGGAAGGATAGAACGAAGTTTGTCGTGATTGGACTAACTGCGCTGGACTACGAAATTTCCTTTATCAGCGAGAGGAGTAGAACGATATTCTAAAAATCCTATTCTCTGATCAGAATTATCATCTTTTGCCTTTTTAAGTATACGTTTGGCAACTTTAAACCATCGCCTCAGCCAAACCATTTGTTTGGTTATGATATGGACTACATTTTACATGTACAAAATCCCATTACTTTGTAAAAACTCCTCAAATTCTTGACTAGAAAAACATGGACCCCCATCAGTGACTATTTTCTCGCATATGCCCCAATGTGACATGATATCTTTCATGTGGGAAATAAAACAGTTGAACTTTTTATGTTCAAAAGTTCATGAAACTATGAACCTAAATTTTAACCCACTTTGCCCAATAAAAATTTCTCTCATTAATGAAAAAAGTCCCCCACCCGAAATTTGGGAAAGGGGAACCCTTGGGGTTTTAAAGAGCTGATTAATCCCCTTTTTTTGCGATGACCTTTTTCCAAAAAACGAAAATTGGGTTTTCCCATTTCAATTATATCTTTTTAAAATTTTCCCCGGGCCCAAAAAACATTATTGCCCTTTGGCTCAAACCCCCTTTTTGCCCCCCCAGTTTGACGGGAATAAAGCACCCTTTAAACTTTTCAATCTGAGGACCGGGCAAACGATTTTTTCCCCTTTTTAAATTAAAACCATTAACCCAGAAACTAATCCCAAATATTTCCCAAAAAGCCAGAAATTTAAACCCTGAGAAAAACCCTTTTTTGTATTTGGGCCCAACCAAATTTTATTTTTTTCGTAATGTACTAATTGTTCATCTGTTTTGTGTGTAACCTGATTTCCTCAAGTTTTCTATCTGACACGGGTAAAGATGAGATAACCATGCAAACGTGTGCCTCAATACCCTCATTAAGTTCTGGGCTTGTTTCCGGACTGGCTTTTCTGCTAAGTCCACATCTGCTAATGGGATTTTCTTACCGGACATGTGACGAAACTGAAACCTAATATGGAGTTAATTTCAAGACTAAACGCTGCAACCTAGCAGGTTTGAATGGCATAGGCTTTTCAGCAATCCCTGTATAGGGAGATGGTCATTTTCTACAATGACATCACGGCCATAGCAGTACTGATGAAATTTCGTAAATCCAAAGACAATAGATAATAATTCTTTAGAAATTTGACCCATATTTCTCTGTGATTCAGTTAAGCTACGGGACGCAAATGCTATGGGACGTTTTTCCTGAAGGATTACTGCCCCTAAAGATTTGGAAGAAGAATCAACTTGCAATGTCAAGGATTTGTTTGGGTCATAATAAGCTAAACATGTGTCCTTACAAATGACTTTCTTTCATTTTTTCAAAGGAATCACTTTGAGGCTTTTGCCCACGTGAATATAGTGTCCTTATGCAATAACTCTCTCATAGGAGCGGTAATCTCTGATAAATTGTCAGAGACATAACGACTGAGATAATTAACCATGCCTAATACCACCTGTAGTTCACTTTTTGATGTGGGTGGTCTCATATCCTTAATGGCCTCAATTTTGGCGGGATCGGCCTTTAAGCCTTCTGCAGTTAACACGTGACCAAAATAACTAATCTCGGTGAGACCTACTTCAACTTTCTGGAATTGAAACGAATGCCTTGTTCAAAAGCACGTTCAAGGACAGCTACTAAATTTCGGTCATGATTTCCCTCGTGGAACCCCATACACAAATATCATCAACAATTGTAGCTACCCCTTCGAGACCTATCAGTGCCTCTTCAAGGGCGCGAACCAAAAAATCACCTGATACGTTTAATCCGTATGGACATCGAAGATACCTGAAGACCCCCAATGGACTGTTAAATGCAGTCAAATATGACGACTCTTCAGATAATTGTATTGACCAGTAAGCACTAAGTTAAGTCCAATTTAGTGAAATACTTTGCATTACCAAACTTATGTAATACGTCATCAAGTGTTTTGAGCGGGGTAGGGTGTACGCTTAATTGCACTATTAAGCGAACGAGGGTCTAAACAAAGACGTATATCGCCATTACTTTTTTCAGTAACAACTAAATTATTACACCATTCAGTGGGTGTTGGAATCTTAGCAATTACTCCCATTTTTTCCATTCTTGTAAGTTCCTGTTTCACTTTATCTTGTAAAGCAACTGGAATCCTACGGGGAGGATGAACAACTGGTGTAGCATTTTGGGTCAACATGAATGTTACATTCCCCAGGGAGTAACCCTATGCCATCAAAAACCTGAGCATAATCCTTCAAAAGGACTCTTTAGTAAGAAATGCCTCTTTGTTTCTATGATTATAATCATTTTGTACAGAATGAGCGAATTCTATTGAGCTTAAAGCCCCAAGCACGACTCGCAACCTAATAGTGGTGGGGATTTCGTGTCTACAACATGAAACGTGACATTTTTTGCTTGACCTGAAACAGCATGAGAACAAGGGAGAGTGATTTGCCCTTTGCTATGCAAGGAATTGCCATTGTAGGCGGTCAATTTAGATGTGGGCTTTTCAAGTGGTGCCTTGATTCCTAAACCTTGAAAGGTAGATAATGGCAAAATGTTTACCTGAGAGCCAGTGTCTAACTTCATTTGCACAGCCTTTGTACTATTTCCAATTAATATTTCTGTAAAACATCTGCCCATTTTTTACTGTTACACAGTCAAGACTGTCCACATTTTCTACACAGTCAATGTATAATTCAGAACTTAAATTTGAAATTTCATTCACTGTTCTAGATTTACAAACATTGCTCCAGTGGTTCCATTTTTTACAATTTTACATTGTGTGCCTTTTGCTGGACAACGCTGCTTGTCAGTATGTTGATTTCCACACCTGTTACATTTTGTACTGTGTGAACGTTCCCCAATGCGACCTGGATTTGCTTGATGTTTCTGTTATATCGACCTGGATTCATCCGATGAAGGGTTCCGAGACGAACGACTTGGATGCCCGATGAACGACTAGGCATCCGTCCCTTCGGTCTTGATACTGCATGTACTGGAGCACTTTCTTGGACGTTATTGAACATTTTTATTTGAGATGCAGCATATTCAAACTCTTGGCAAATTTTTGTTGCCTTGTCTAATTTCAGATCTTTCCCTACTTGCAAAAGCCTTTCTCTCAATTTTGTGGATGACACACCAAATATAATTCTATCTCTGATCATGTCATCTTTCATTGTTCCAAAATCACACTCTGTAGCCTGTGTTTTTATTATTGTGATGAATTGTTCCATAGTTTTTTCGCCTTGTGTGATATTATTGAATTGATAGCGGCTAAATACTGGGTTGATTATCGGAGCGATGTGTTCTCGGACTTTTTGGAAGATCTTTTTTGTTTCTTTTCTATCTGCATTAGATAAATTGGCGGCTCTATATATTTCTCTTCCCTTGGCACCCATATAAAGCAATAGCATTGTAACGTGGACATCTTCCTCTTGATCTTTCAAGGGTCCTTTAAATATTAATTCACAGTGCTCTTGAAATTTTGCGAATTCTTCTACAAGATTGGTTGATGTCCAGTTCATTTGAGGTTGCGGGATACCACTTAAATTCATTTTTTTTTATAATATTCCAGCACTTAAGGAAATGTTAATGTAATATTCCAACAAGAAGGAATTATAGTTAATTTCTGTCCTTTTTTAAAGACTGTTTATTGCACATTTGTTAATATTCCGTCATTAGGAATGATTTACCTTTTAATATAATATTCTTTCCTTAGGAATTATAATTAAACAATTTAATATTCCGTCTTTAAGAATTATTATCTTTCCAGTTCTGACACCATGTTACGTCATGGGTTTATGAACGACATAAATATATATGTGCTCTAACTACGTTTATTATCTAAACTATATTATATGATACATGTGTTTACATATCAGTGTCCGCGATGGTAGTATATTAAGATCTAGGGAACTCTCTATTATAAAGGAGCTGTACGCACCTAGAGTATCATGTTACAGTTTACTCATCATCCTACAGTTGATTGACTGAAATAATTAAATTGTCTGTCTGTCTGTCTATCAAGTAATCATAAAATTTCTTTATGCTAGCAGTCATGTTTTTATAATCAACACAAACATAAATAATTCAACAAATCTATAAATAACAAAAACATTACTTGAATCAATTAATTTAGCCATGTTGAAGTTTTTGCATATAGGGTAGCTATTACCAAAGGAAATTTGACATGGTTTTTACAGTGACGAAATGTCTTATAAACGGGATAATTTTTAAAAAATTTAGTTCAAGTACTGAATATAAGAGTTGTTTAACTAACTTACAAACACTTTAGATATTTAGATATTTCAAAAGTTACTAACAGTTGAAAGATTTATTACTGAACCAGATGTCTCTATTATATGCAAGATGCGTTTTATTTCCTTCATTTAACAAGATGTTTAATTTGTTTTGTTTTACCATAGCTAAGATATAATAAGATATATTCAAGGAAAATATCACTTTAAGTGAGATCATTGTGGTTTATCACGTTTTCCAGGAAAAGTTGCAACAGCTACACATTAACTTTATATAACCGGGAAAAATAATGGAATAAGGACTTGCAGCAGGTAAGGTTCTTTTCATGTGAATGCTTATTACGAACTTACCATCAAGTTGTGGCTTTGTGTATATTTTGTTTGACCGCAAAGTTGTATTGTAAAGTTGGTGAAAAAAAACCCGGAATATAATGTGCCTCAAAGCGAGTCATTGCGGGAACGCAATTCATTTCTAGATTCAATGAAGTAAGACAGTCCAAATAGATTTCTACAGTCATTTATTTTGTAAATATCTTACTGTACATAAATAAGATAAAGAAATAAAAGTTTTGGACGATAAATTAGCGCAATAAGTTGCGTCCATGGTCACACACTATTCTACAGGATTACAAACTATTAGTTTACACTGACTTTGATTGAGTAAGCCCTTCTTCTGAAAAAAAGTTTTATATATTGGACATTTCCTTTTCATAGTTTTAACCCCGACGAGGCCGCAAAAAACAACCAATTCTACATTTTTATTGAACAGAACATATTAAGAAAAAATGTTATGAAATTACCGGAAGGTAGTTTAATCATTCCACTTTACCACGAACTATATATTATACTACAGTTTAACCGGGAAAACTCCGCCTAATTTCGTTTCCGCAGTAATGTTTAAGAGCTACTACAAATTTTATGTTATAATTAGAACATATTAATTAGGTAAATTCTTATTGATTAAGGGGAGGAAAAGCGAGTAATAACGAACAAGTCTCACCTACATCTTATATGTTCTAAATGACAAAGGATATAACATCCATTTTCATTGGCTGGCTATTGTTATTTGAAAACAAACCCTATTATATTTGTAAATACACAATAGTTCTTATTATCATTACAATGTATATAATTACTGGTGACTTATAGACCCATGGGGCCGAGTGCTCTGTTATTTCTTTCTTTGAGACATGTATTGTAATAGATATGCACATGTCACGATTAGAAAAAAAAACTTATTTTACTTACTTATATGATCATCGTGAACACCTGTCGAACAAATTGTCATTTTGTGCGTCACTTTGTAAAATGTTTTCTTTCCGATCTAACGATACCCCCACTCCCCCTTTTTGTTAAAAAAAGAGGAAAATTGTCCATTATAACTATATTTCATATTTAATTGAAGTACATGATTGTATATAAAATCTAACTTTGCAATATGCTGCAAATCAATATACACTCGTTTGCTAAAGATGACACATTATACAAACTGAAGAGCCGTGGTATTAAACATGTATCTACATTGTAATTGTAAAAAAAAAGATACACAAGTGACTGAAAAATATTGATTATTTTGAGTTAGCTTTTGCCATCGCCTATAGAGTTGGAAAAATCTCACATATCTCAAGTTGTCTCCAAAATTACACTGTAAATTGTTTTATTAACACTACATCCATGCCGATGTCAAATACACATATATACACACATGCACATATTTGTTACCAGTATTTGTAGATCTTTGCTACTTTACGAGAACAGAATGGTCTGAGTCAGTTGTTAAATGGTATTGGTTAAGGTAGCTCGCTACTTTCCGACCGAAATATGACAACATCTCAGATCTTGATGATTTTTGGTATGCAAACATATAATTATGTGAGCTTTACTTTTGCAGTATTATTTTATGAATAAACAGCGTTACTATGACGTCAAAGCGCCCTCTATCGGTGGCGGCGAAATTGCGTCTTTTTTATCCATAAACCGGTCTGTTCTTATTAATTTTCATCCGATTTCATTCATTTTAATTTTATAATGTTCAGTAAATGTATGTCTTTGTACTGATGTCTTTCTTGAACATTTGCTTAATAGTCTGCAATTTTACGTCATTTTTCTCTACATTCTGACGTCCATATTTGATGCAAATATCGCGTGATATCGCAATAAAGATTGTGTGATAAAAGAAATTCAACACGGTGAATTTTGCTATAATTTTCCGAGCGTGTAGTGAGATAGTGAAGGAAAATATTAATGCAATAAAAATATAGGGTCAACGCGTAAGATATTTTGCTATTACTGTTTTAAAATAAAATAAAGGGTGAGTGAAACGTAATGATTTTGGTGACGTTAATAGATGTTGGAGTTCAAAGAATAATACCAAATAACAATTTTCTTACGTCAAACACTACGATAGTAAGTAAAAACAACTCAAGGCCGAGACAAAATGTATATTTTTTAAATTGTTAATTATTTTCTCATTGAAAGCATGCGCTAGGTGAGCACATTTACAATGTTTAATCCGACAATCCCTTTTTAAATACTTTTCTAATTTGCAGGACACCGTCACATACATCTTTTAATTCTAATTTTATAATGTGATGTTGTTAAAGTGTTATATTATTATATGAATTAACTAGTTTCAGCGCAAAAAATAAGATTCACATATTGCTGTATGAATGAAGTAAGAATATTAGGTCGCTTAGCTTATACCCGTAGAATATTTATTTTACGTTACATTCAGCCTTTAAACACTTTCATAAAATCACATAAAGGCAGACGAGCCTCGGTGTCAAAACACATCGTAAAAATACAATTAAAATAGATATGCATACAAATGTGCCGAAATAAGTGATAAATAAAAACTAGAAATAATATTCAAATATGTTAAAGGGACTCCACTGAGGTTTTTTGACATGATGGAACTGAAAATATTTTTTCCAGATAAATGTACCATTTGATGTAGGTTTAGACCATTAATCTTTGTGCAAAATTTCAGAGCATTCGCGCACTTCGTTTTTCCAGAATAATTATTAAAAATGAAAAGCGTTTAAACGCTTTTCACCCGAATCGGGCTAACAAAAGCATAAAAATACGATTTTCAATTTATTTCAAAGTATATTTCTTAACTATCTTCGCATATATTTCTGTTTAAAGTGCCCAGCTCATTTATGTAAGAAATTCAAATGTTATGTGTTTGGCTTTTCAACCTCAGTGGAGTCCCTTTAAGAATATTTAAAAACAAACTGTACAAGAAACAGAAACCTTTATTTTATTTTTATTTTTGCTTGCCATTTTTAAGTCTGTTCAATACATAGATTATATAATTATAATCTAATTAAAATGTCATGATAATTAGAAAATGAACACTTATGTGACAAACTATAAACTATTGTGGAAGCAAATTCATACTGAATAAAAAATATATAAGCATATTCGCAACTGCAGACTCGAATGTGAAACACCCAATATAACCATTACTCAACTCGGACTCATTACCGTTTTTTCATTACTGTACAGTATAACATAGCGGCCCTCAAAGTATTATTTATTTCTAAAGAGTTCCACTACATTTTACCTCTGTAGAGCAACCACTCTAGGCAACAAAGGGCATTTCTCTGTAGAGGTTATACTGTATATTTTAATTAAATACAAAATATAATTATTAACTAACTTGTGCAACTTTTGTTACCACTGAATACGAATAATGTATTATGTTGACGTTATCTAGTTCATTTTTTAATACAATACAGTTTGCTTTAAAACAAAATAAAAAGCAAGAAAAAAACAACCTCAAAACCAACAACACGTGTTTATTATACTAGCAATAAAATGAACTTCTACCTTATTATCAGGTTTTTAATTTTGAATATTCTTCTGTTGCCACGGTGTAATCGGTAAAGTGGTCTTACGCTGAATTCGGAAGGCATGGATTCGAGACACGATTGCGTATTGTACTAATAGATTATCCTTTAGAATTGGTTACTGTGTATGAAATGTTTCAAGGTCCACCTCGGACTCCTGTCATTCATTTCCAAAGAGAAGTTGATACTGTGAGAAACACTGGTTTCGTTAAATTCCCTCCGCTATAATTGAAATACTGTTGAAAGCGGCGTTAAACCCAATATTAAAAAAATAAGAAGATATAAAACATAAAATGCATAGTTCATTATTTTCATAGGCTCTACATAGCACTGCATTATGTGCAGACAAAAAACGAGCTTCTCCCACAACCAAAATCACACAAATTGAGAATCCTACATAATCGCCTTCAATACAAGGGAATCTGTATTTAATATGCAAAATTCTCCGCTTCTAAACATACAAAATAAATCAACGGATCTTTCGCCTCTAATCGAGAAATGATCGCGGCTTCAGGTCGACTCAAAGATGCGCTAGTAAACGCATACCGCGAGTCAGCTAGTTTAAAATAAATAAGAATATCTATAATTATGTGAAATACGTGAGAAATTAAAGCCATAGCATGAGAGCGTGATTCCTGCTTTAAATCTGAGTCTCACGCTTAGTGCAGGGTATTTAGCTGCGAGAGAAAATAGAATAACTGATGGCTGTTAATAAATAAATTTTTATACGTGTAGAAAATTTTTGAATTAAATGTCTGCTAGATTTTATAATATAAATAAGACTACCAGTGAATCATGACTTACGTACAAATCGTTGCTACTTTCAGTTGATCATATATTTTTGAAACGTAAATTTGATTCATTTCCTACCACAGACATAGATGTTATTTATGTCTCTGTTCCTACTTACTGATATATACAATTCAAAATTGTTACATATGATAACATGGAAGTTTATGTTGTACCGAGATACACATAACATGATGACATTGCGACTGCACCAGCCTTTTCATTCTTTTTTTCTGACATTCTTTGCAAAATTTATGTTTTTATAATTTCCACTTAGGTGGCCTTTTAATTATATCTTTCAATATTCTGAATTGTCTTTCAGTCCTCGAGGTATTTATATCCATTCGTTGCAGTTTTTCAGCGATTGATACCAACTTTTGCAGACAGTTATACCCTGATTTGTTGTACATGTATATAATTGAAGATATTCATCGAAAAGCAGGCATCTGACAGGACTTTTAAAAGAACATTTTTACGGAACATGTCTACATACTATTGTTGTTGATGGTTTTCACACATTTTTATTCCTGTCAGTATGTTATTTATCGAAAAAGTCGTGAAAATTTCCTTGAGAAAAATATTTGACGTCACCAAAATCATTACGTTTTACTCACCCTTTATTTTATATTCAAATAGTAATAGCAAAATATCTTACGCGTTGACCCTATATTTTTATTGCATAAATATTTTCTTTTATGACTTCACTACATGTTAAAAAAAATTATAGCACAATTCACCGTGTTGATTTTTTATTATTTCACAATCTTTATTGCGATAATGCGCGATATTTGCATCAAATATGGACGTCAGAACGTGAGGGAAAATAACGTAGAATCGCAGAGTATTAAGCAAATGTTCAAGAAAGACATCAGTACAAAGACATACATTCACTGAACATTATAAAATTAAAATAAGGGAAATCGGATGGAAATTGATAAGAACAGACCGGTTTATTGATAAAAAAGACGCAATTTCGCCGCCACCGATAGAGGGCGCTTTGACGTCATAGTAACGCTGTTTATTTATAAAATAATGCTGCAGAAGTAAAGCTTACATATCTACATGTTTGTATACCAAAAATCATCAAGATCTGAGATAGTGTCAAATTTAGGTCGGAAAGTAGCGAGCTACCTTAAATCGTAAACACGAATACAGTGTGTTTGCATCATATATTTTAGTATTTAAGTTAACATTTTAACATACTGTAGTTTATAGTTGTAGTATGGGCGACTTTATTTTCAGATAATTAAAAACACCTTTTGATATTGGTTCTTTGTAACGTGGTTTTATGGTGTCCTTCTGGGCTTCTTGCCGGTGGTCTTTTGTTGCTGAGTCGATTGGGGGATGCGTTCATTGAACGCCGCCCTTCCTTGATGATCTTGTTTTTCATATTTCACACTTTGGATAGTCACACTTGGTGAGCTCGAACGTCGAAATATGACGATTTTTATACACATATCTTATCTAACCAATTACAAGACTTCTTCTCGGCAAATATATTGAAGTACTACGTGTTTGTACACATGGTTATTCAATTATCTCATCTTGTCGGAAAGAGCATATTGCTGAGAAGGTACATGAGACCAACAAAAGATCCCCAATACTTAGATAGACTTTCTGATTGCCGCAGGTGGTGGTGACGATTTATCGCTATTGCCCTGGTCATAGATAGATTTATTTGCATATATACATCAGTAGAATCAAAATATACTGTACATCAAATTAAATTTTTACTTATTCAATACAGCTCATTCAAGGCATAATACAAACAGAAATATCACATTATGAATTGTATCACATGTCATTTGACTTAGTATCATTACCACAAATTGAATTGTGTTACCACCAAGAACACTGATATGTATATTTGCAGGATAGTCCATAAAGTCATAAACTTTTTTTATAGGGTCCTAAAATTAGAAAAAAATATTAAAAGTGTAAAAGCAATTACTTGAAACAGAAAAGAAATGAACTGATTTACTGCCCACAGTACAGGACAGATATTACTCATGACGTGGATAGTGGCCCTTCTTCGACCAAATATGACGAGGATGGGTTTTTATGTGCATGAGCTCTCATGTTTCTATTTTCGGAAGGCTCGTTCCAAGTTAAAAAGATCCTATTTAACTCGCCTTACAACTTGGTAAACATAGTTTTAACGCGGTACTTAGTCTATTCCGGTTTGCATATTTAAGCAAGAGTAAAGCAAGGCCAGCCTTCACCTAACCCCATACACACAGTATATTATTGGCTGATCAACTTCAAATTTTCATCTAGATATCCCCAACATTGATGACGGCGGACTACTATAAATATGGTAACTGGACAAGTTCATTTATGGAAAAAAGTAGTTCAGGGTTAAGTCACTTTATGAACTACAATGTATTTTTTTACATTTTATAAAATGCAAGTTCTTTCACAACCACTTCGTAAAGGCGTTTTCAATTTTGAACAATGTCTAACCCATACATCACCGAGTTAATCACGTATAAACTTACGTTTATAGATAACATGGCTAGTTCCTGAATGCACCTGGTGCTGCAACCTGTACTGCCTTAATAAATATCTTTTATTTTCTTCAGACCTATCTACTCGATAATTACTGTGATAGTGATACATAAAGATGGCGTTAAGAAGAGAACATCTACAAACTCTGTTACTATTACTTTCTGTGTGCTTGGCAGAAAGTAAAATGACGGAAACATACAAGGTGCTATAATAGGATATAATATTATTGAATTTACAAACTGTTTTAAATTTGATTGTCTTTGATAAACATTGTCATAATGTGGTAGTAACAGCAACTACTGACGGCGTTTGATTTAATTATATTTACCTCATATGCTAAAAGAGGAAACGTGTCTGTTGTGTCATTACCTTGAAAACTTGGCATTCCTGATTTTTTAACTTTGTGTTATGATGGATTAGTTTAAGCATTTAGATAAATACATATACATGTATATGAGTTAAATAAAGGTACAGTAAAAAATCAATTTCATTTGCAATTTGTCAGAGTCAGTCATTATACTAGTATCTGTGCTTTAAGTATGATTTTTCTAATACAGAAACACGCCAACTTATCAAAATCGATTATATAAAGGTCGAGAGCAGACATCAAAGTATTAAAGTTCTTTTTCTTCATTGTCCTCTAGAAGATCTTATAGGGAGAAATGATTACCTTGTTGAAAAGGTGTCTGTCACTCAATTAATGTGTTTGAGCCCTTAAGCTTCTCAATTTACGCCCATGTGTCCTGATATTTTACCAATTATAGTGGACTTTAAAATGGTGCAATCAAGCTCAAACAATTATGTTTATAACAAAATTTGAACCGAGTTCACTTTAATTGAAAGAAGAAGTAACGGCATCGTGTTATTTTTGTACTACTCTTTGAATGTTATCTTTAGGTGATGACGTATAATGCTGCCTTGTTAGGGGCTAGTATATCAGTCAATGGAACCATTCCTGACAACCGTGTAGAAAGACGAGACGCCTTAATTGAATATCTCAACGATGATGCTAACTCAGACATCGTCTGTCTACAAGAAGTATATTGTTTGATATTTATTAGTCAATAATTTGTTTTTCATATATTTGTACTTGAAGCCTTTGCCTCAATGTATATGCGAAAAATGAATTTAAAAATGATTTAACAAGTATCATAATGTGGCAATTGTTTCATTTTGGTGTAAAATTGCCAAAAGGCGGGGTTTTGAAATGCTTTCATTCTTTTTCTTTTATTGCAATTGTCTAAAGTGAATATGAGCATTGTATTCGACAAAACTCCATATATAGTATATTCTTTGTCAATTTAAACTCAGCTAAACACTTTTTACCACATAATCTACAGGTACGTCTTTATTTTAATCATTGCTAATTAAAAGAATGAATACTTGCTTCTTACCACATACCAGAACAAAAATCACACTTTCTACAGGTATTCACTGGCCAAGATGTTGAGGCGATTGTAAATGGTGTTGGCTCGAAGTTTCTTTTCACATACAGCGAGATACATCTGAGTGATGGAACACTTCCGCCTCAGTCAGATGTTATATGGGGTAATTGATATTTAACCATTTGAAAATTAATTATTTATGTTCGAAAGAGAATAAGTTATTCTTGCTGGACTATTGACGCGTAATCTATAGCGAGTAGCTCATATAAATTGAATTATATGTACTCACGTCATCTCCGATTCTTATTGCTGATATATTGTGGCTGAAATAATAGATGGTGATGTGGAAAACACTTTAAGAACGGAGAAAGATATTCTAACGGCAGCATATTTCGAACGAATTACTTGTACTACTTTCGCAAAATGTTCAAAATGAGGCATGTTAGAAATGTTCATGATATTCCAAAAAAAATTCTGGAATTTTTAATATTGATTTAAAACAAGCACACCAAAATGGCTTTGAAGTACTATAATATTATCACTTGGTGAGACTATTTTTGAAGGTTTAAAACACTTATTTTAGCACCGGCATGTAACACAACAGACTACCTTAATTTTGCAAATTGTGCACTTGGAAACGGATGTTTGAGTTCAACGTCCGACACAATACTTTCTCCAGTAACATATGACTGTCTTGTTACCAAATGCCCGACAGAGTTTCAAACCATAGTGTTTGTAAATGGAGAGAAATGTGTTAGCTGTCTCATCAGAAATTCACCTAAAAATCATTTCAAAAGGTATTATGTGTTAGTGATTGGCGCGCAACAATTATTTATGTGATGCTTTTTTTACTTTGCTTCAAAATCACTTTAAGATTAGAGTTTTCCGGTTATATATTATTTCAAAGCCGATTTATATAAGCACTTTTATAAATTATGACGCTGTCACAGATATTATAACGATTCTACTTTTATCTAAACATCTTGGTAAATGTAGTTATGATATCTTTAAACATACTTGAGAATTATATGGAAATACTACTGACTAAATTGTTAATTACATACTTTAGATTATACCTTTTTGAAATATTCAATAAACGCTCCAATTTGACCAGGAACAGATATTTGATGAAATTTTCAAGGTTTAGCTTTGCATCTTCGCTGAAAATTTATATACATAAACGAGGTATGATCAAAAAGTTCTCGGCCCGATATACTTCTAGCCAGTTCACTGACATTTACATACGATACGTCGATACCGACATCTTACTGAAGATTACTGACCAAGTTACACGCGGTTTTACACAGATTTAGTAACATTAAACACACTTTGATCAGTAGAGGGGTGTGTCATTTAGACCAAATGGAGAAAGTTGAAATCAGAACCGCCATTAAATACCTCTGTAAGAAAGGGATGTCCCCAAGGAAATCAATGAAGACTTCATGGATACACTCGAGAAGGGGTCCCCTTCTTATACCTATAGCGCATTGAAAAATGGGTTGCTAAATTTAAGAAGGGCAGGGAGAGCATTAAAGATGATGAGCGGCCTGGGCGGCCAAAAGAGGCCACCAACGATGAAACTGCCGAAGCTGTGCACGATCTGGTCATGTGCGATAGAAGGCGAGACCTGCGAAGCATTGCTAGGTAAGTGGGTATAAGCTTTGGTTCAGTTCAGGCAATTCTGACTGGTGTCTATGGCATGTCAAAGGTTTCCGCTAGATGGTTCCCTAGACAGTTGATTGACAACCAGAAACGGACCAGGCTTGAAATTTCAATATATATCTTTTGTATTGCTAAGAGAATGAACCTGATTCCATCTACCGGATCGTAACTCAGGATGAAACATGGCTCCATCACTTCGATACAGAATAAAAAAAAAAAACAGAGCATGCATTGGAAGCACCCTGGCTCACCCCCTCCGAAGAAACTCAAGAGGGTGCCATCAGCAGGGAAGCTAATGACTTCATTTTTTTGGGATAGTCAGGGGATAATCATGATTGACTATCTTGAGCAAGGTCGTACCATAAACGGTACGTACTATGCAGACATAAAAAGGAGGGGAAAACTGCCTCAAGGCGTTCTTCTCCTGCACGACAATTGATGCGCCAGCTCACACATCCCAAGTTCCAATGTCTGCTGCAACTGACTGTGAATTTGAAGTTCTTCCCCATCCCCCATATTTTCCGGACTTGGCCCCTCTGACTTCTACCTGTTTCCGAAACTGAGAACGAAGCTTCGTGGTAGACGTTTTGAAGGCAAAGAATGTGTCATGGAGGCGGTCGATGAGGTCTTTGAGGACAAAAATAGAGTGTTATATTTTGCAGGGGTAAACAAGTTGGAGCACAGGTGGGCAAAGTGCAATGATGTATTGGGCGATTATATTGAAAAGTAAGCCCATTAGTTGGGTTACTACCGGACGTATATCGGGCCAAGAACTTTTGGATCAATCCTCGTACGAATTATTCTTATCAGCATGCAAATGTGACGTGAAGTCAAATAATATAGTTTTACAAAATAGATTCATAATAAGCTGAAAATAAAATGAAAATAATTTTTGATCTGAAACTTACAAGAAATATTATATGATAATAAAGTTCTCAAAATATAAAATTATATATCTTTGATAAAGAAATAAGTCTATAAGATAAATATTTTTCTAAAGTAAGGTATATGAAAATCGGTTTTATGACTGGCACAATATTTTGGTTTTGACATGTGGGACATTGTATACATGTATATATTCTAAATGATATGTCAGAGACGACTTTCTCCAGTCATTCACGAATCATCACTTGATTCTTCAGGTGTGCAGGACCTCCATCTACAGACCGTTGGAATATAAACAAAATTGGACTTTTATTGCTGTCCAAAAAAGAATTATCTGACACTGAAGCTATTGAGTATTTTCCAAATGACATCAACATCTTCGCATACGGATATCTTCGTGCAAAGGTATAGGAATAATGTTTGCCTTATAAGGGTTTTACTACTTTATTTTTTATTCTGTGTTATCTATTTCAATTTCTGAATGTAATACCGTTACTAACAGAAAATATTAAGAGAAATATTCTAATTAGTTAATTTCACTTGGACATATACATGTATATTTGACTACGCATAAAGTGGGAATAAGTTGAAAAAGAATGTAGTCAACATTATGTAAGAGTCCGGTTGATATAAGATGTCGAAAATAAAATAATTGCCAAGGATATTAACAATCCTGGTGAATGTTAAAAGAGAAATAACTTGATTCAAATTAATACAAATTGTTTAAAAAATCATTTGCATATCATTTAAGGTTGGCGATCTGACCATCGGCTGTACACATATAGTACCCACAGATTTCAACTGTATGGTGTTTTTGTTTTGTTTTTATTGTACAAATTAAATTAATTATATATACTATACAGAAATAAAACAGTTGCAACACAAACCCATACGGAATATATGTAAACAAAATACAAAAATAAACTACGTTTAACTTAATAATTATGAAAAATAAATGTCAAAAAATAAGTTTCCTTTAAATAAAACAATAATAGAAGGAAAGAAAAAAAAATTCATACTAAACAATACTTTTAAATATGAGCAATTTTTGAAAACTAAATGCCAGAATTAAGTAAAGCTTGCAATATGTTTTACAAATAAGAATATGTAATTTAGTTTACCTTTCTATATATTGAACAAAATAATATTTTTCATATTAACAGTTCCTCCACTCATGTCCCAGTTTCAAACCTTCTCGGAGCAACAAGCGGTAGAACTGCAGAAATTTGTTGATGCTTTCGCTGGTGCAGATCCCGTAATTGCACTCGGGGACTTCAACTGTGGTCCTGACACTGAAATATTCGACCCAGTCGATGCATGTAACTGCTCCTTTTCCAAATTGTTAAATGTCATTTATAGAAATCAATTCATTCATTTGATATAAAGATGAAATATAACTTAACATATTGCTTTGAATGTAATTGTAGTAGCTATATGTACTCATTTTTCAAAGTGATACGTATTCGTTTCAAGGAAATGTTGTGTCTCTAACAACATAAGAAAAACATTTATGTTCAACTGAATTAATATTTGATAGCAATTAATAATTTCTTATCGCATACTTATTACATAATTTCATTTTATTGATCATTACCATAGTTGACGTTTAATTTTCAAGTCCTAAATTATTCATGTAGCAAAATATGCATTAAAACTAAATAAATCTTATCTAAAATTACATTGTAATCATATTTAATGGCATACGGATTTTGTATGCTTTATTTCAGCTAATTACGAGATACTCACAGGTTTTTTCACAACAAAACATACAGAGGAAGGCACGTACAGATCGGAGAATGTATACAACGAAGCTCCTGGTCAGTCATACAATTATGCTATCGATCATGTGTTTAGTGCTGGAAGAGCAAGGATTCTGAATACTGAGGTAAATACTATTTAACATGTCGTATATATACATATACTCATATACATGTATACTTATGTTTTAAGATATATGCACACATAAATCTGATATCGTATTTACTCTTTGTTCAAAAAAGTACAGAAATATAAATGTATGCTTCAAATACATGTAAATATAAATCAGAGTTATCTTCGCTATGAAGGAAAGATTAAACCACCTTCCGGTATATGTAACTTGTTGGACTCCTATTCCCAGACCACTGACATTTCAAAGATTAAGTACCTAACGTCATGGCGCATTATGCATACGCTGAAATCTTTTCATGTTCTCTCTTTTACCCGGAAACTTCTTGGTGGTATGAACCAAGTAACATATGACTCTGACAGTTGTTACTGAATATTCCACATGCGCATATATACAATTAGAAACTTTAAAATATTTTCTAAAACATGTGCCACTTTTCAGACATCAATTATACTTCTGTTATACAGGTATGATGTGAATTACCATTTATTTTAATTTGTTATCGTTGTTTCTTTGAGGTTTTGCGTTTGTTCTGAAGTTGTTTTGTTATAATTTACAGGTAATCCTGAAAAACGGCACAATGCCGCTAGAATCAAGTTGGCTTCCGTACAGTGATCATTATGGTGTGAAAGCGGTAGTAAAAGTTAAAAAATTAGAAAAATATTTCAGTAGAAATGTGATGAAAAATATTGCAAAAACCATTCATAAAACGCACATCACATGGAAATTATTACTTATTCTTGAATCTTTTTACTTTCCTTAAAAAAGTTTTGTCTCAAGTTTGATTTATTTGAAATATTTTTTGTTGCTCTGGAGCTAAGCAACTTTTAATCATTTAAAGTGCTTCTAGTACACGTAATTGAAAAGCAGTCGTTATGCTTAACTGAAAAGGGAAACAACATAGTTCCGTAGTCAGAAATTTGTCTCAATAGTTCTCGTTACAAGATGATACAGCATTCTTTCGAATTATCCCCGTTTTGTTGTTTTAGGTCACCTGAGCACAAAGTGCTCAATGTGAGCTTTTGTGTTCACAATTTGTCTTGCGTCTATCAGTGCGTCCGTCGTTAACTTTTATACAGACGACTACTTGGGCCAAATTTGATGATCTTTTCCTGGGATGCTCCTAGCAAGAAGCTCTACTTAAATTGTTCAAATAGTTCTGCTCAGTTGAACATCTGGGTCAGGAGGGCTAAAATAGATTTTTGAAATGAATTCTTTAAAAAATCTTCTCCTCTGAAATTATAATCCTGGGGTCTAAATTGGCCTCGCTCCAGTGGTTCATTGATTTTAATTATATACAGTAAAAAATTGAAAAACATTCTCCTCTGAAAGTGCAAGGCCTAGAGCTTAGATATTTTGTGTGTAACACCATCTAATGAAACTCTAAAAAATATATTCAAATTTTAGCCCTAGGGTCAAAATTGGACTAACCAGGTGGTCTTTGATTTTTATTATACACATAAAGTAAAAACTTATATAGTACACTCAATAAAGTGTTATATAACAAAAACTTGAAATTAAATACTGACGCAATAGTTATTGTTCAGACTTTAATAGATTCAAAATATAAGGGATTATTATTTTTTAATTTTAAAAACAAATGTTATAAAACGTAAGGATAAACTATGGTTTCCCGTCAGGGCCATCGCGACACACACATAACTCGGAACAACGATAAAGCAAACTAGGAAGGTGAAATATCGAACAAACGAAATGACGATGGTGAAATGTCGAATGTAAAATGATAACAAGTCAAAGTTACGATGGTGAAAAGTCGTTATAACGAAACCAGGATGATAATAAGAAAAACTCGATATAAGTTCCTGTCTTCACCATCGTGGTTTCGTTGTTTCGTTATCTCGACATTCTTTACCAAGGATACAATTACACACAAGTGAAATTATTATTAATGGCTTTGAATCATGATCTTAGCATAAGATAGGTTCATTGTATGTTTTCTTTATAAAGATTGTCATTAAGTGCACATGCTTAATAGGAAGGCCAAAATACGATTGTAAAAACTCACATTTACGATGATGAAAATTCGAAACCACGATAATGAAAAGTAAAAAAAAAACGATAGTGAAAAGTCGAAATAAAGGAACATCGAAACCGAGAATGTCATAGGTTGAAAGAACAGTGGTTTAAAGATGAAATTATACGAGTTTTTACCATCGGATTTCGTTATTTCGACTTCACTATCGTATTTTCGTGTATTTGCTGTTTCGAGTTATGTGTATGTCACGATATTTGTTGATATATTGTGTAATGAAGTTGTAACCAAGCACCCTTTTTACGACATACTGTATCCAGTTGTTTAATTGTTGATAAAAAGGACTTTATAATGTACTTTAACTCATTTCATAAATCTTAAAATCCCAACTTTCGTAACACTTGAAATGGCTTCAGTATCAGACAAGAATGTCCTTAGTATGCAAAGCAATACCCTTGAATCCCATACAAGGGGTGTTCAAATATGAATGCAACTGGGTCTATTTTCAAAAGTGCTTAACAAACAATGCCAGAATAATTATCACAATAGTGAACAAGAAAAGCATTTATGCAAAGCATCAAAGGTGATACCAAAAAAAAATGATCAAGTTTTGCACCTCAATACTTTACAAAAGATGTGAACTTTATAGCAGTACCATTACATGTGACATGGAGGCTAGGCCAAGTTTAAGTTGAAACTTAAACCAAAAAGAATAGATTCTGTCTTTCCAAAATGCAAAGACAATTTATAGTCAATTAACCAATGTTATAAGACTCATGCCATAAGAGAGAATTTCGTCAGATTTATTTTACCAGATACAACGATACCTGACTCATCAGCATTTAATAAAAGCTTATTGCTTAGAGTTGCAGACATGTCATTGACATATATTAGACATAAAAGAGGACCTCAAATGAACCTCAGGGGGACACCATAGGTTCTCGGAGCAGTAGTAGAAGGAGTACCATCCACATTCACCAGCTGCTGTCTATCAGAGATAAGACTTGAACCATGTAAGAATGTCATTACATATGGCAGATGCTTGAAGTTTCATGAAGAAGAAGAAGAAGAAGAAGAAGAAGAAGAACTTCTTCGTGTGCAGTATAGTGTTTTCAACTGTATCAAATGCCTTTTGTAGATCTAAAAGTATCATGCAATACTGCCTTTGTCCATTTCAATTTTAATACAATCTGTTAAATCAATCAAACATGTATCAGTTGAAAAACCACTTCTAAACCCTGACTGAAACTGCCTGACCATGACTCGAACCCATGACTGTCAGAACACCAACTGAGTTATCCGGCCGGCTACACATTTTCTCTTTAATTATGAAACAGTTCTAAACCACAAGTCATTTCCCCACTATATTAATTTTTGTCCTTGAATTTGTGATGTTTACAGAGCATAGTGAATTAAACTAAGGGTTAAATGCAGTCACAGGATCATCATTATCTGAGAAAAACTTTCAGCTAGAACTTGAACCTGTGACCCACAGAATAATGTCCCGCGGTTGTAGCGATTGAGCTATCTGGCCGCTTACACATTTTCTCCCCTAAATAGTGAACAGATCTAAACCGTGACAGATACTTTTAGATTTTTTTTAATTAAGGTAGATTAATTCTTAATTAAACAAATAAGAAAATAAAACATTACATACTCATAGTCTTAATCAAAATAACAATTTATATATTGTATAATTATTTTTACTAAAAAGGGCTTAGACAGTTATTAAGTTATTAAATTTATTCAAGCGCAAGTAACAATCTACTCTATGAAAAGTCTGTTGTCGGGTTGACTCTGAAGACCTGGAGGTTGAGACAGGTGTCCCTCCATTACAAATAGATAAGACAGAATCTGTCCTTTTCAAACTATGCAAATGTTATAAAAAAAAAATAGAATTACTATCCAAAACATGAAAGAACAGATGATTTAGTAAACACGAGTTACTTCCCCTTAAAATAGAGAAAACCTGAAACCCAAAAGAACACCCTAAACAGCAAAATTATGAAATGTTGCAGACTCAATTTTATTAAGCCATGCAAAATAATCGTAAAGTATTCATAAAAAGTTAGATGGCCATATGACAGCAATAATTGTAGAAAATTGGATAGCTTTCATCATCCGGATACTGGTACACTTTGTATAAACAACCATTCTATGCAATAGATAAACGTAATTTGGATAAAATCAATAGGATAATCGTTTACAACAGTTACATTACCTATCCTAATAATTATATGCAGGTGAACGTTCTTCTTGTAGGAAAATGTTGAAAATATATAAATGAATGAAAAAGAATACGACATCAA